GGTACCATTTTGGAAAATAACCCTGCAATGCAAACATTTACTTCTACAGAACAAAAAACTGTCAGACTGTCCCTGTTTAACAAAAGTACAATACTTCTTCTGCAAGCAATACAACATATAGAACAGCTTTTCAGAAAGTACGAAACTGCATTCCGGTTCTGCCTTAGGCAATCATAACTTCAAAAACCTAACACGGCTATAATCTTACTAATGACACAATGTCCTAGAATGGCAAGATTATAAAAGCCGTTTTCTCTACAATATCACAAATCAACATTGCTCCCTAGCAGCCAGACAGGTTGAGATCTGAATGGAGGACGGCCCTGCAGACTATACAGAAGACAACCCCACGTTGTCACAGATTAGTCACGCGTGTCCGGCTCTTTAAAAATAGAAACAATTTAATACGGATTTTGCAGATTTGCCAAAACAGCTACGCAGCAGGTCGGAAGGTCTTGGGAACCACACACCTGTTCTGCATCGAGCTCATGCGTTGGTCGACTCTGGGCCAGCGGCCATCGCTTGCAACGCCTCCGCCTCGCACAGCCATCTGTACAGGCCGACAACCCGGCAACACCATCTATCATATTTTCAATCAATCAGCCCTACACACATCATAACACCTATACACATTAAACAGACACAAACAGAACCTTCTATCCTGCAGCAGCATCGCCAAAATACCCACGATACACTGCACGATTAAACCTGTACCTCCCGCCAGCTCACTTTTGGGAATCTGCCAAGGTATCTACTAATGTGAAGGTATTTCATCTACACTGGAATGATGCATTTAAATTTCACCCAACTGCCAGAGTCACAAAAGGCACGGAGATGAGACCAGCTGGGGTTCGCCAGAAGACCTGCCGCTCTACAGACGCCTGGCTGATAGTCTATAGTGCTTTCGGAAGAGCAAATGGTACCGGCTGCAAGCACTGAAAGCCCTCTGTTCTGAAAAACACAATGTCTCACTGGGGTGTGACTTGCTAACATATACAGAAGACTGATCCAACGTGGAAAATGTCAGCCAAAAAAAAGATAACAACAATAATAGGCAAGGTTTGGGAAGCATTTTAACACATATAAATCTTTAATGTTGGGGAAAAAGGTGCCGGGTTGCACAATGTATCCCCTGGGGAGGGGTCAGGTGGAGTGGTCTGGATAGCAGCCCATTCCTAAGTCCCATTTTTAGGTTCCAAGCATCCCGCAGAACCTTGGACCACACAGCCATGTGGCTTCCAACTGTACCCAGGATGCAGCAACTTGAGAGTCACGGTGTGCTAATAGGCCACCTGAGATTCGCATCCGCCAGAATGACGCAGCAGGGACAGGAAGTGATGTCGCACATGCCGATAAACAAACCGCGGGGCCCCTCCCGCTACACTCTGCGTCTTTATTCGGACGAGCGTTACAAGCTGGGGACACCGACCATCTGCGACAGTGAATGATGGAGGGTGAGAGGAAACAAAGATAACTAATATGGACGGAAGAATGTGAATTTGTTTCCCAGTTCTTATTGATGCAGAATAAAGAAATCGGATTGCTATACCAACTGGACACTTCATTTGAAAACAGCACACAAATCCAATGTCCATGGTGACGTTAAATTGCCCTCTACAGCACTAGCAAAAATGCTAAGTAGTAAATAAACTCAGGAAAACAAACTCAGTTTAAAAGCATGAATTGTAAATTCCAGAATTCCTGATGTAGACAGGCAAGAAATCTTCTGCAGAGTAAGAGAATATTTAAAATTAAACACTCAGCAGCCACTGTCATGTCCCTACAGCAGAAGTAACACAGGATTATTAACTTTGGTCAAGTCTGCACACATATGTACACGTATTTATGCGTATGTAACAGTTTTGTAACCTTGTAAATAGTCTGTAGGGTTTGCAAACTACCCTAAGGCTTCTGATACATTTAGAAAAAAGTTCTCTTTGCATTTATCTTATATTCAGGGCAGAAATGCGGCTTCTGTTAAAGACGAAAGTGGAATCAGTGGTGAAGTAACATCACATATTGAGTGATTAAACCTGAGAGGTTTTAGGGGGTCCGGGGGATTAGGGCAGGTCAACGGTTTAAACTCCAGCATGGAGAATGAAAGTTGGGCTCTTCAAAAGTCCAAAGGCTTCATACAGTAAAATGTCCTAAAGAAAAATACCTGTTTCAGAACAGAACATCCAGTTCTCAGAAAGGCTTCCATCCAGAGTGAAAGATACAAGAATTATCACCTATTTGATGGTGCCATGGTCCTATTAAGTGACTTCTGCCCAAACACTCACTGCGAATTAATCAAGAGTTAAAGTCCAATATGCCCATGATGGCTAGACATTCTCATCCCAAAGGAATCTGCATTAAATTTATCATTAGGGGAAAGAAGATGGGTATTATTTCTGTCCTGACAAGTTCTTATCTGTAATTGCCATCCACTGTTTGGAGCATTTAAAGTGGTTTACGCTGTAATGAATTATTACCGGTTGACCTTCGGGAAAGTGAGGAGAAACTACTGTCACGCCATTGACAGCTGTGCTGCAAACGCTTCAGCTCGCTGGCGCCACCTGGAGCCTGTCGACACTATCCCTTCCATTAAACCCATTTCGAAACATATTGAAAAAATACATTTACACGAAGGACAGACAGTGAACATTTTAATTTGATTGACAAACCCATGACAGAAATGACGGGAAGGAAATTGGCCACGGGGTTGGAGGTGAAGATCGCCGGCTGCCATCGCGCCCAGCCCCAACTCAGCCTACAGCCAGAGCCGGGTGACAGCAGAGACCCCGAGGCCACGACCTGCTCAACCGACAGCAGCACCTTACAGGTGTCAACACAGAGAAGCACAAAACATTCCCTCCCTGCGATGCACTCACAGCGGGAGAAGGCTTAGCAGAGCACTACGTCACAGTCCCATGAAAGCCTATTATCAAGGACAGCCAATCATTCACACCGGGGGGCGTGTCCAGGAAGACACTACCACACCCACTACCTGTACACTCACCGAGCCACACCCATTATTAAGGCCACACCCAATAATGCAGCCGCAATATCACTGGGACACGCCCATTCCAAAGGCCACACCCACAACAGCAAACACATCCAACAAGACATCAATAATCAAATACACACAGAATTCCCTGTGATGCCCCAGACTCTGACACCCCTTACTGGAGACAAGCTTAATTTACGAAACCCTAGACTCCACGGCTGCTCTGCGCAGTCACCTGACAAGGCCAGGACACACAAACGATGACAATTTCATCTTCACTTAATTGCTATCAGACTTCATGCAAAGGCCAGAGCCAATATACAAACATTACTTCAGTACCTCTACAAAGCACCACAGTGCACATCTTAAAACAAACAGTGCACTGAACTAATATTAGATGGTCGATTTTACACCGACCAATCTACCACAATGTTGTTGATGTGGACAGGTTACTGCTGTAGAAGTTGCTATTTTGAAGAACAGCAAACACGGGGCTGGCTTCCCTTGGTACGAATCATTACAGCCAATTCCAGTCTTCCTGTAACAACCCCGGACTGACAGCCTACAAAACAAGGTGGAAACACAATGTGCCAAACAGGAAAAAAGAAAAAGTCTCCATCTACTTGCCTTCTTAATGAAACCACCTATGAAAAGTTTTCCTCATGGGCCGTGCAGTGAGTGACATCAGGCAGATTATCCCCTAAACACCCTCAGCATATAAACAATAAGGTTAGTCCTTAATTACCCAAATTGAGTAAAAACTTCAAGATTTTGCAATTTAATTAGTGTCAAAAGCACTAGGAACTACAGCGCCCTGTCCACAAATGATCACAACACCCTGTCAGAAGCAGCCCTGATCCCCCCCCCCCCAAGCTGGGGGCATCGTTTCCGTGGGCAGCATGTCAACCTGTGGACAGCGTGGGCACCACGGAAATACCCCCCCTCCCTCGCCTGCCTCTCAGAGCTGGCCAAGTCTGCCCCATCATCTGGCACCAGCTCCAGGGATCAGACCAGCTCGTTTAGAGGAGCAGCTGGACAGACTAAGGCGGAAAATCACTGCGAAAGGAAAATCAGACTAATTAAGGGCTGACGGCCCCACTGAGGCTGACCTGGCTTCCATCCGCAGCGACGGATCGATCTGGGTGCCCAGATCGACCCGGGATCGATCTGGGTGCCTTTAGTTAGCTGCCCCAGCACTCCCTACTCAGCTGCCCTTCTATTTGCTCTAAAAACAAATTAAACATTTACAAAAAAACCCCAAAGCAAAAAACATTTTCATGAAATATTAACCCCCAGTTCCAGGGCCACCGCATGGTGCTTTAACCCCCAGTTCCAGGGGCGCCACCTGCTGGCTGACCCGGCACTGTGACCCCAAAGCTTGATCCATGTGTGCACCTGAGAGCAAGATGAGACGTGCGGTTTTGAGCATCGCACAAAAAGGTCACCTCTACCACCTTAAATTATCCATTTGATCTTCAGAAGGCATCCTACCACATTTATTCAAACGCAATAATTACATAGTAACACATGTAAACAGAATATACCAGTTTATAATGGTGTTTTCCATCCTCACTCCAGTAAGTCATGGTGACAGCAGTGTTGCCTCCCCAGGCTACCCCTTAAATTCTCCCAGAAAGACCTTTGCACACAGTGGGGAGGAAGCCCCCCCCCCTGCCTGAGTAATGATCGTCCAGCTCTCTTGCACAGATGCAAAAATCCAACGGGACCTGATATTTCAGCGCCTTGTCAGAAATGTGCGGCAAGAGTTCTCTGCTTCTCTATCGGTTCGTACTTTTTCTTTTTCCCCCTCACCTATATTGTACTTTCACATAACAGGAAAAACCACTGGCAGTAATTACTCCTCCCATCCTGTAGGTGGCAGCAACCTTGGCTCGACCTGAGCACCAGCTGTCAGCCACACCCATGACCTCAGCGGCACAGAACGCACAGGTGGCTCAGAACGTGAGCCGTCCGATCAACGTCGGCTATAAGAAAAGTCAGACACAAATGAGATGTTTCACTGCATCAGCCCGGACCTGGCAGAACGAGACCTTGGCTTTATTATGCAAAATCACGTTTCAAAAGAAAAGCAGCAGACCAAGGAACCTTATATGTACAAGCGGACGATAAAAGGTCAAGCGGTTTCATGTATAAGACGTCCAAGAACTGTTTGTCAAACAAGATTAAGAGATACAAAAATAAACAATTTGCCAAAGGCCTTTAACAATTAAACAATCACAGTCACTTGGTTTCACAGGACATGTTTACGTGGCTCTCTTTTTAAACGCTCTGTTTCCTCCCCACAGTCATTCAATCTGAAGTGGTGGGGTGGGGGGGGGGTAATTCACAGTTCAGGGAGTTCAGCACGTGATACACTGGGAAAAGCGACACAGCTACACCGTGGTCTCATGCTTCCAGAGGCCTGTCCGGATGTTTCCGGAGCCCTCCGTGCTTGCCGGACACGCGTTGTTTTTCGCCTGCCCGTTCTGGCTGGCCAGGTTCAGGCCGTAGCACTTGGTCGGGCCGTCCAGCTCTACGCTGACGGGCTGCTTTACGCAGTCTTTGCTAGATGCCGAAGTGGGGGGAGCTGCTGGCTCCGCCCATCCCGCCGGCCCAGCCCCGTCCCCTTTGTCCGGGGCCCGACTGCGGCGCGGCAGGGTGACACTGGCATCGCTGCTGTCCTGCTGCTGGAGGCTCTGCCGGCGCTCGCGGTACGCCAGATAGGCGGCCCGGCGGCTACGCGCGTGGCTGTCATGGGGGTGACGGCTCCGGTGGGCGTGGCCGCTCTGCACACTGCCGTCCACACTGGTGGGCACATCGTGGGCATACTCGCGCAGAACCGTCAGCCGGCTTGCCCGATGTGCCCGCGCCCGGCTCCGGTGGTGCGGATGCGGCGGGTGGTGGCGGGCACCTACGTGCCCGTTGGGCCGGAACGGTGCCTCCACGGGTACCACGTGCATCTTGATGTCGTTGTCAAGCGAGTGCTCCGTCAGGCTGTTGTCAGGAGGGACTCCGACCCCGTTGCTGAGGGCGGGGACTGGGAGGGGGAGGGGCTTGCACTGGGCCGCCTCTGCCTGCAGGTTGGTCAGCTTGCAGCCCTGGGAGGAGGGGTTTTTGAGGCTAGGTCCGCTCTTATTAGTGCAGGACGACTCGGCACTGCTGTTGGGGCATTTGGGTACCTCTCCATTCCCATTGGTGGATGGAGGGGTGTCGACCTGTGCCGTGTAGTCCCGCCTCCTATGGCAGCAGGCCGCCGCCCAGCGGAGCCGCACATCCTCCCGCGTCACACTATGGTGGGCCACCAGGAAGGCTCCCAGGGACAGGGCGGCCACCGCAAACAGGCAGGAGAACAGCAGGTCCAGCGGGCGCTCCTGGGACACGGCCAGCGCCGCCGAGCCCCAGAGCGCCGCAAACAGTGCCAACGACAGGGCCGCGCCCAGCAGCTGTGCCGGGAATGTCTGCTCGTTCTCCAGGGCCGCCGGCGGCGCCGCAGACAGGTCGCCGTGGGATGCGGAGGCGGAGTAAAGGGCTGGGGCGGGGCTACCGCCCTCCCGGTCCTCACAGTCGCGCTCCGCCCCGCCGGCGAGTCGCTGCTGCTCCTCCGACGGCTCCTTCAGCTCGTAGCGTCGCTCTGGGTGCCGGCGGAGCTGAATCAAGATGCTCAGGAAGTAGAGGCAGTCCACCAGGGCCATGAAGCCCACTGGCCCATAGAAAGCCCCCAGGCTGGGCTCCCATGCCATCCAGCAGCTGCAAAAACAGAGGGGAGGCGGAGTTAGATCCTGCACTGACACTTACCCACCTGAAAGGGGCAGTATCACCACACCGTGATTACAGAACTACACCCACCTCCTACCTGCCCACTCATGTAGCCGCTTCTCCAACCCTGACATGCGTCACCAGACGTACAACTGGCAAAGTACCAAGGCAAGGAGATCAATTAAGCGGGCCCTAGCTCTTTTAGGGGAGGGAGTCCCCTTGTGTTAATGAGAAGAGGCAAGAAGACCTATCAGAGGTGTCAGAATCCACAAAGTCTAACCAAGAGCGCCATTACCCAGATGCCAGCACAAGCCTTGCTGCTGAAATGCATGACACACAGCTGTGGGGAATAAAGGAAATAGCTAACAAGTCCCCTGGAGATTAAAGAAGGTCTGTGTGTATTCGTTAAGGCTACACACTTCACTTCATTATGGAAGGCTCGGAAAGGCCTGTGTTATGATGCCTCCGAACCTCATTAAAGCTCACCCCGAAAAACACGGCGCTAAGCTAACCGCAGCATTCTGTCGAGTTTTGTTTGCTTCTGCCGCAAATGCCCAGTTGTGGACTGGAGGTCAATTAAACTCCAGACATCAGACAGACCTCCAAATCACTCACAGCCACTACACCACCGAAACAGCTGACAGT